ATCCATCTATCTATCTATCTATCTATCTATCTATCTATCTATCTATCTATCTATCTATCTATCTATCTATCTATCTATCTGTCTGTCTGTCTGTCTGTCTGTCTGTCTGTTTATTTGTTTATTTGTTTATTTGCACCCAAATTCACATCTGCCATGTTTTTAGCCATCATCATTTCCATGGGCTAATTGAGACTCCAGCGTTGCTGTTGTGAAACAGTTGGGAAGGAGAAGCCCTCAATGAGCTGTTCCAAATCACCCATAAATCCTGATCCACCCCCCGCAGTGCAGAAGCTAGAGCGCTCAATAATGTTAACCAGCCCATTTAGCTAAAATGGGAGAGGAGCTTTTAACCCGTTTTTTTCTACCCTTAAATCCAGGCCCAGGCTGAAGCGCGGAAGGAGCATGAAGGAGCTGTCCAGCTCTTAGAGGTAAGACAGAAGGGAAAAGAAAAGATGTCCAGGCTGAATGAAAGGCAACATTTGAGAACAGTCCATGGGCTATCTTTTGAAGGAAAACAGAAATATTACATGGATGAAAAAGCACTGCCAAAAACTCCCTTGATGAAGAGGAAGGAAACGGTAGACCTAAAATAAGATAAATAGGGAACTTATAAAACAGACGGACGCTGGTTGCACCAGTGCTGCCGGTAGGGGGGGGAGTGAATCCATTGGGGGTTTTGCTCCGAACTTTACAATCACTGTCCCAGGTATTGAAACCCTTGTTCAGAGTGGATTCAACACCTCTGAAGGGCCTGGTTAAAATTTGGTTCTGATCAGAAAGTAGATGCGTTCGGTTTTTCCACCTTGAAATGTTTGGCTCAGGACAAAGCTGATGACATGTGGCTGACCTTATCTTTTCTACTTGTCTCCCCCCCCCCTTTTGTATTAACAGGAAAGCCTGGATTGCATGCAGGTACTCCTAATTTCACCATGTCCTTCCAAAGATCCTCATCCTCGTCTCCCCTGCCTCCCTTGAATCCTGTCTTCTTGGAACAGAGAAATGCCCCCAACTTTCCAGCAATTTTGCAAACATGGGGAGAGGGGGGGAAGATTAGAGAAAACCAAATACGTTCAGGGTTTTGTTGGTCTCCATTGCAAACATGATCCACCCTATAACAGCTAACCCCACTGAGCAAAAACAAACTTTTGAGTCATACAGAATTCTTCTTCAAATCCGGACGACTCGTAACCTGTTTAAAGAGATACTCGCCACTGCTAAAGGCTAGAGTAATCCCAACAAAGTAGAGCCTCCATGGTCAAGACCATGGCATTTGAATCCTTGGCATTTGGTGGTGGGTTCTAAGGGATTGATTTTGTCCATGTGCCCCATCTGTGGGCTTCCAGGAAGGGCATCTTGCTAGGTGTGGTATGAAAGAGGAGATTGTCCTAGAGACACCCACCTTGTTTCACCTTATCCAGATTCCTCTTTGGATTTTTAGATTCTGTTCCTGTGGACTTGCCCACACCTTCAGCTACCATATTTTTCTGTTCATAAGACTATACTTTTTTTCTAAAATCTTTAGACTAAAAATTGAGGGCCATCTTATACACTGAAGTAAGCTGAGGAGAAAAAACCAAGTGGAGTAGAAAGCAGGGATCAAAGTGATCCTGCAGGGCTTTGATCCCTGCTTTCCCCTCCACTTGCTAAGCCTTAGCAAAAGGAAAGCAGGGATCAAAGTGCTGTCGGATCGCTTTGATCCCCGCGTTCCCCTCTGCTTGCTAAGTCCCATGGGACTTAGCAAACGGAGAAGGGAAGGATCAAAGCAATCCCGTGGCTGTATAAGGGGGAAAGGGCTCAAAATGATTGTGCAGTCATTGAATTGCTTTGATCCCTTTCCCCCTTCTTTTGCTAAGCCACACGGCGCTTAGCACGAAGGGAGAAAGCAGGGATCAAAGCCATCCTGCAGCCCTTTTGATTCTTTTTACCCTACATTTGCTAAGCCCCACGTAGATTTCTTAATTTTGGGTTAGAAAAGTGGGGGGCGTCTTTTACATGGGGGAGTCTTATACACAGAAAAATACGGTAATTTTTCCCTCCTGGCAATTCAGGCCCGTGTGAGGGAGTTGGAGAGCCAGTGCCAAAGCCATACAGAGCAGTTCAACTTTCTCACTCAAGAGCTCAAGCGGTATCGCCTGCAGACAGTGAAGATTGGGTCCCCGCCTTCCCCTCCGCTAGCGATGCCTGAGGTTGCCTTTGCCACCTGCTGCGCATCTCCTCCTCAGCTCTTGGAGGACATCAAGGAGAAAGGTGAGCCCATGGAGGTACGCCTCTCTTTGCTATCATTAGAATCATTCTTTTTTTAAAAAAGAGGGAAACCGAGAGCTAATGATGATCACCAAAGATCTGAAAATGAAAAGCTTTATCCTAAATTTAAATAATAATATTTAGTTCCGTCTAAATATTAGAATGAATTCCCAGACAGTTAAAAGTGGAATGAATTAGTTTGGAAAATGAGAGGTTTTCTTTCATAGGAGGCTTTTAAAAAAGAATTTTAAACCTATAATGTCTCTCTTTCAGAGATACAATACGGCCCCTTTATCCACAGGATCAGTATCCACTGATTCACTTATCCACAGCCTGAAAATATCATGTTTCCCTGAAACTAAGACAGGGCCTTATATTAATTTTTGCTCCAAAACACGCATTAGGGCTTATTTTCAGGGATTATTTTTTCCAAGTAGAACAATCTATGTTTATTCAAATACAGTCATGTCATTTTCTTCTGGTTGCTGCACAATGGTGAAGGGCAGGCTTAACTAGGGCTTATTTTTGGGGTAGGGCTTATATGACGTGCATCCTGAAAAATCATACTAGGGCTTATTTTCAGGTTAGGTCTTATTTTTGGGGAAACGGGGTATTAAAAGAAAAATCCTAGAGGCACATATTTCTAAAGATGAAGTTACCAGAATTGGCCATTAGAGGGAGACAGAGACCATGCTATGTATAGCGTTTGCTATCAAAATAGTGTTTGCTGTCATCCACATTTTTCAGCATCCACAGGGGACGGATGGACTTGGAACTGATCCTATGGGGATAAGGTGGCCCTACTAAAGTGTAGTTTTAGATTTACTGCCTCATTGCCTGGGGTTGGACTAAATGACCCTTTGGGACCCCATCTGACTCTGCAGTTTTATGGGTCTATGCAACCTCCCTTCTCGTGGCCTCCCGGCCACGGGCAGAAGGCTTTCTTCCCTGCAAGGTCTTACACGACTGCTCTTCTTGGCCTAATGTGTCGTGTTTGGGTTTCAGGTCCAGAACGTGTCTCTGTGTCTCCAAGCGGCAGCCTCAAAGTTCAGGATGAAGAAGGGGAAGGCGTCTCTCCAGCGGCCCCTCGGCACCCGAGCCTTGTGGTCCCTTCCGTGGCCAGAAGTCCAGATATTCACCTCCCTCCCGTGGCCTCCAAGAAAGCCATCAAGAAGCTGGAGTCTCAGTCGAGTTCCTCGCGGTCAGAATCCATACCCACCACCAGCCCCAAATCTTGTCCAACTCCCGAGGTGAGTCCGAAGCTGGAGATGGGGTTTCCAGTTTTCCATTTCAACAAGCCCAAGAGGGCCTGAAAGCATGTGCAGAGTGTTTTCCCCTACCTAGCGTAAGATTTGCTTAGTAAAAAGCTGGTCCCACTCTTCTGATGAAAGAAACCAGCCTCTGATAAGAAACGATAAATCAGCGATAAAGTTTGGAAGGGACGCTGTGTGTATCTTGCAGCTGATGGGAAGACCAAGGGACCCATGCCTTGCGAAAGATGATCAGTTTTGATTCCCAAGCTGCATTGCAATCATTTCAGGTTTTAAGATCAGGATGCACGCCCTTGCTTCTCTCCTCCTCGTGTGCAGGCGATGTTGAGAACAGCGAGGAAATGTTGCATGCTCTCAATAAGAGTTCTCTCCTTGGCAAGAATGACGTTTCGCACAAAATGGTGGCTTGTTTAAGCATTTGAAGCCTATGATGGGTTGCTTGCATCTTTTCTTAATTGTCATGCTGTTTTTCTGCGCTCTTTCCTATATATCTAGGAAACCAACAACGTTTAGGGAAACTGTAGAGGTCTGGAAGTTGGAGATGAGGAAACCTGGGGGCCTTAAGCTCTCTCACAGGTGTCCTATTGTCTGTGGGGGTGAAAAAAGCTAAATGTACAAGAATGAAGAATTCAGCTACTGTTCTTGAAAAAAAAATGGTGATTGACTATCATATCAGCATCTTGGTTTATCTCTCTCTGTGCTGGTCAAAAGCCACAGCCCTTCAGTTCTGTTGTCATTGACATGGGTTGCCCAGTTGTCTCTGCCTCACAACATGCAGTTCCCAGCCATTTCTCTCGGAGTGCGTCAACACCCACGGAGCTTTTTGGGGTATAACCAACAGTTCAGGGCCAGGTATGTCCCACAGAGCCAGTAAAAGCTTCTGGCCCCATTCTGTGGGACAGGCTCCAGCCTTTCAGGCAGTTTCCAGTAAAGTTCATATTAAAACCCGGAGCGGACTAACAGCTCCTGCCTAAGTTGTCTTATGGACCTCCCCTGGGCAGAGTTCGCCCACTGCCATCCTCAAGTCCCGAAGCCAGGAGCTTGGAGGGTCAGGAGTAATCATTTAATGGATTCAAAGTTGTCCACTTAATTGACTTAAGGTGCCTTTAACCAGGTAATAGGGCTGCTTACCAAAAGTGGCCGCCATCCAGCGCCCCAACTGGGGTATGTACATTTCTCTTGGCTTTAAGCCTTCCTTGTTCAACCCGACAGCAGATTAAAAACCCCAGTGGGATGGGAGGTGACAAAAATGGGTTGCTAAGGGCATCATTCAAAAACGCTACCGTTTTGTAAAAATCCAATTAGCCCTGGAAAGAGCAAAGGGGAAGACATTCCCGTAATCTCAACCCTAATTCTCCGCATTCCAGCCGTTCCTGTGATGAAATTTGCTCATGCTACAATTAGGTCCTCCTCCTCTGTCCTAAAATAATTTTTAAAACTGATCACACTTTTTGCCTTAGGACTCCATGGTTCCTTTAATTTTTTACTTAATTTTTTAAATTTTATTTTTGTTCAAAATTAGAGTTAGCTTGGTGTCTGGGCTTATCTTCCACCTCCTAGCTTAGTGGTGTAGATCTCTGGCTGCGGGGCCAGAAGTTGGGAGTTTGATTCCCCCGCTGTGCCTCCCTGCTGGGCTGGACTGGATGATCTGTGGGGTCCCTTCTAGCACTGCCGTTCTAAGATGATGATTCAAAAATATCAAACACAATCCATCAGAATGTTAAACCGATAGACTAGTATGATATAGCAAATATAAGTTTTAATAAAGAAAACCTAAGCATCTATCCAATATGTATGTATGCTGTTCCTAATATTGCAGGGTTTTTTGTAGCTCTGATGATGTTATTTCTGAGACCTGCAACTGCTTATAGTGCGGCGTGAAATTTCTTGATATTGTTCCCAAAGCCCCAATGACTGCAGGGTCACTGAAGTGTATTTCATCCACAAGCGAGATGTTTCGATGGCCAGGTCTCTGTCCTTTGTCGGTATTTCCAATTCTTTATATTCAACGCTGGCATCTCCTGGAATTGCAATGTTGATTATCCAGACATTTCTTCGTTCTATGACTACAAGGCCTGGTGCGTTATGTTCAAGGTGTCTTATCCGTTTGGATCCGGAAGTCCCACAAGATCTTGACTTCCTCTTTCTCTGACACCTTCTCTACCTGACGTTCCCACAGGTTTTGGGGAAATTATATTTTTTTGTATAATGACCAGTGCATTAATTTTGCCACTCCATCGTGTCTAATTTTGTAATCTCTCTGTGCCGTCTTTGGACATTCTCCGATGAGGTGCGACACAGTTTCATCTTTTTCTTGGCAGAGAGTCGACGTTTGCTGTTAGCACCGACTGCTTGAATCTTAGCTTTCATCACCTTGGTTTGGAGTGCTTTTTCTTGTGCAACAAAAATCAAGCCTTCGGTTTCTTTCTTAAGGGTCCCCGGTTTTAGTCATGTCGTTGTGGCTGTTGTTATTGTGGTTATCAAGCTAAATCTCCTTCAGGGTGAGGGAAAAAGGAGGGTGGGCTGGCACTTTGCAAAACAAGGTTGACGTGTTAGCAATATCGTCTCCGACTTGCTCAGCCCTTCCTGTGGTGGGATCCTTTGCCTGTCATTGCTTTTCGTGCAGGTGGACACAGCCAGCGAGATGGAAGAGCTGGACATTGATAGCGTCTCACTGATCCCAGAGCCGGAGAACCCCAGCCCAGTGAAACTTCGGGTCTTCCTCGCTCGTTACAGGTAGGGCGACCCTAGCCAAGAAAATACATATCACATCTCCCCGGTGCATCGCTCGTCCGAAGTCTCCTGACTCCTCCCCTTTGGGTGCGGAGTCTGGAGTCAAGCTGTGGAAACTGGGTGGCTCTGGTTTCACGGGGGCAGCAGCAGTGGGTGATGAACCTGCTCAGAGAGTTTTAAAAGGAACTCTCCGAGGTGCTGAACATTTGTCCCACTCTCTTCAGGACTTTGGAGAGCTACCAGAGTTTTGGGATGTGAAAGTTCGGAGAAAAAAACGGAGTGAGTTCGCTGACCCTGTAAACTCGGAGCCCCTTGCCACTGCTTCTTTCCTCACCTCCTTTTTATTTGGGCTGTTCCAGTTCAACAGTGTTTCCCCTCATCCTTTCATTGTCCAAACACCCCTCCTTCTGTTCCTTTCAGCTACAACCCTTTTGATGGCCCCAATGAGAATCCTGAAGCTGAGCTCCCACTGACGGCCGGCGAATATATTTACGTCTATGGGGAAATGGATGAGGATGGTTTCTTCGAAGGTATGGATCCCATGAGGGTACTGGAAAGGAGGCACAGTACTGGAAGGAACTTATTCATCCAGCTCTTCTAAAGATGCAATGGATGAGATGCTGAGTTTGTTTTCCATCCTCTTGCAATGTTTTTCTCCCCAGCAATGTACTCTTGCAGGCTAGTCATGCTCCAGCACTAGACACACAAGAGACACCAAGGTTTCCATCCATCTTTGTCCTTTTAATATGTATATACAATTATACCCTTTTTGTCACTTGGGGGAGCACTGCTTCTAGATACAGAATCAGCATTTTATCTTGGAAGGGCCCATCATATGCTCTCGCATTCCTCTCCAGGGGAGCTGATGGATGGCCGCAGAGGTCTGGTCCCCTCCAATTTCGTGGAGCGCGTTTCGGACGACGACCTGGTGGCCTTCTTCCCCGGGGAGCTCAACGATCTCTCCCAGAGCTCGCCCGTGGAGCGCAGTTTCCTCAGCACGAGCATCAGCAGCGGTGAGAAAAGCGACTACTCTATTGAAGAAATCAGTGCCAGCGCCGGGCCGTCGAGGCTCGAAGGGGACCTGGGAGGGGTCTCCGCGGCAGTGCCTTACCCCAGAAAAGTGAGCCTCATTAAACAGTTTCGCTCCAGCCTCCTGGTGGGGTGGGAGCCGCCTCTCCTCCCCGCCGGCTCCTCGGAGATCCAGAGCTACAACGTCTACGTGGACGCGGAAATCCATCAGAACATAAAGGCAGGATCCCAGACCAAAACCGTGTTAGAAAAGTTGGACTTGAAAACAAGAGCGTATCGCGTCTCCGTGCAGAGCATTTCGGAGAAAGGGGCCTCGGACTGCCTCCGATGTACGTTCCTGGTGGGGCGGGATTTTGCCTTAGCGCCCAGCCAGCTCAAGGTCCGGAGCGTCAGCGCCACGTCGGCCAAGATTGTTTGGGTGCCGAGCAACAGTAACTTCCCACATGCCATATACCTCAATGGGCAGCCGCGGGATGTGGCGAAGGCTGGCGTCTACTGGTACGCCTTCCATAACTTGAACCCCAGCACTTCCTACGTCGCCCGCGTAGAAGTACGGCCCCAGCCCGGAGGCTGGGAGTCCCCCCGAGAGCAGCTGCTGGCCGCCGAGATCCACTTCACGACCACTTCAGCCGGTGAGTCCAAATCTCGGATCTCCGGAAACGGAGAGCCGGCAGGGAAAATAACACATCCTCCGATCTGTTTGTTGCTGGTATCAAGAAACAGAACACCTACCCAGTGAGGCCGGCTCTGTCATTGGGCAGACCGGGGCAGTTGATCAGGGGTCAGAAATGACTTCTTGAATGTGGCAGTTGTGGTGGGGGAACCCACTTTCTGTGGCTGACTTTGGGTGGCACGTGGCTTCAAACGAGTGCTTACGAACCACTCTACTTTGTGGGTTTTGTCCCTGAATCCCTCGGCTCTCGTCATTCACCCATGATGGGGAAATGTCTTTCTGTCCCTCCCGCAGGGTCTCCAGATCCTCCTCTGGACGTCCGAGTAGAGCCCGGCCCCACCCCAGGCATTCTCGTGATCAGCTGGCTGCCGGTCACCATTGACGCGGAAGGATCCTCCAATGGGGTGCGGGTCACCGGTTACGCTGTGTACGCCGACGGACGAAAGGTACAGCACTTTCGCCAGGTCCTGCCAGAAGGGTATCGGGGTGGTGCGGTTGTCAGTGGAGCCCATGATACAGAGGAGTCAGGGAAGACCCTTGATGTCCTCCCCCCAAAAAAAAATACCAGTTCTGCACTTGGGTGAAGTTTAAGTCCTCCACGAGCTTTCCCGGGTGTGGAGCCCTGACCCAAAATAAGGTCATCCCCTGGGATAGCTCCTTTGAGGTTCAGCCAAAAACCCGGAGAGTATTCTCTGCTTCCTCTGTGAAATGGAGTTAGGAGACTCTAATGAAATAAAGAAGGTCTTCCCAGTTCGAGGTGGTAAAAATCCCCCTGCTATGACTCCCAATCTGTCATTTATTTTATTTTTATTGGACGTTTCTTCTGAAGGTGGCTTCTGAATATTCCCTCCATTTTTGTTGTCTCATTGAAATATTTTCGCCTCTCATGGTCACAACGCACGGAGAGGAGTAGAGAAAACTTTTCCCGTTTCCTTTTCTTTTCCATCCAGCTTTTAAAAACCACGAGTTCTTTCCGTCCCAAAGCTAAAGATGTTTGTGAATTATAAAGCAGCTGAAATGAATGGACCTTCTCCCCTGTTGGTCTGGGCCTTGATATTCTATGACTGGTGTTAATACGGCAGAATACAAAAGCCTTCGGATCTGGAATTTAGCTCCAAACTGTAGGCCAGAGTAAACCCATCCATTGGCTCGCGAGCAATCTTCCACAGATATGGGGATCCTTACTGTACTCTCAACACAGATCTGAATGTCATGCATTTAAACTCATAACTCTTCATCCAAACAGCTTCAAGATTTGACCTGTGGTTAGCAAGAAGTACGGCCAGAGTTTTTACCCACCCAGTTAGCAATGGGCTTTTATAATCCCTCTTCCTCCTTTTCAGGTAATTGAGCTCACCTCCCCGACAGCAGGCAGTGTCTTGGTGGAGGTTTCACAGCTGCAAATTCTGCAGGCCTGCCGGGAAGTGTCTGTAAGAACCATCTCTCTTTACGGGGAATCCGCAGACTCCGTGCCGGCTCAGATCCCCTCGGTCTTGTTAGAAGGAGCCGGGGGTTCGTCGCCCGGCCTCACCTCTCGGCTTCCGTCTGCGGACAGACGGACTTTCTCCACTTTGCCCACTTCCCGGGCTTCTGGATCGGACCTGGATTCTGCTGCTCACCTTTTAGTCAACAAGTTCAATTCTGAGGCTAAAGTTGGCCACGAGAAGGGACCGAACAGCCTGCTGGCGGAGAGATCCCCAAACAAGCTGGCATCTCAAGCTAGCGATCCCTCGACGGACCCGAAAGCAGGTCCTCCGCCAAGAGAAGAAGCGGATTCTCGTGTGACATCGACCGAAGATCCAGCCACGCTCCCGGAGGTGTTACACAAGGAACCTGGAGAAAACAGCCAGGTAAGTAAGGTGTGCGGTAGTCACCTACCCTTCATTGAAGGAGGCTGGAGGAAAGCAGAAGGATGTAAACATTACAGGAAGAAGGTGCTTAGGATAACACTAGCCTTGGGTCCCCAGATGTTTTTACACTACAACTCCCAGAAGCCTTCGCCACTAACTGTGCTGACCAGGATTCCTGGAAGTTGTAGTCCAGGAACATCTGGGGACCCAAGATTGAGAACCACTCCAGAGGACAAATTAGATTTCTTGCCAGTGGGGGCTGTGGTCTCTGGCTTCGTGGTGTGGAGGATTTGCTCTGGATTTTACTGCAAACTTTAAAGGGGCTTCCAAAGTGTTGAACTGATGAGGGGGGTCAGTTTCAGCACCATGGATAGTTCCTGTAAACTTCAGGCAGATCTGTAGAGCATTTGATCCCGTGAGACATTTTGTGACGCTGTTGGTAAGGGGAAAAAAGGAGCACAGTAATCTTTTTTAGCAAAATGGGGAAGTCATGAAACAACACCATAACGTTAAAGGTCACAAACAGTGCAGAATAACAGTGCCTCCTGCTTTATGGCCTGGCATTTTAAGGATCAGAAGCAGGCAATGGTTTGCTTGTGTCTTTTTGAACCATCACCTGTCGGTGGTTCTGCATTTTCTGAGCACGTTTTTGCGCTGTGCTTCTCAAAGGGAAAAGACCCTCTTGTGCAAACGTGGTCCGGGCAAATCAGGGAGACCCTGATGGGAAAACAAAGGGCGCTCCTTGTTTTGCTCAAAAGCCGAAAACGAGGAAAATAACTTGCCAAGGTATCTCTTGCTCGTAGCCTCAAAAGCAGTTCATCCCCTGGCTGCCGCAACCATTTTATTTTCTAGGAGCAGCTCCTCGCAGTCCGAGAACGAGAGAGGGAGAATCCAGGCAGCCACGTCAGCAACCCGGAAATGTGTCCGAACTGTCCTGCGGAACAAGATTTGAGAGTGGGATCTCCGGAGAGAAGGGCGGGCAACGAGGCAAGCCTTCAGGGTGCAGACATGTCTTCTCCTGACAGGCTGTTCGTGGCAGGAGAGGACGGTGCCAATGACAGGGGCCAGAACGAGAGGGGAGCCCCAGAAGCGGCGAACGGATCCTCAGGGCGAGCGAAGCTGCTGAAGGAGATCCCCAGGGATGACGCGAACGGGCTGGTGACCAGGGTCAGGAGAGAGGTCTGTGGTGGCTGGGCGTAACCTCCCATGAGCATCAGTAACTTCATACGCATTCCAGTTCCACCGAACACGCTCAGTCATGAGCAATTTTTAATTTCCAAGACAAATATTCCAAGTTTCACCGACTATTCCCTGCGTTCGGTCCCTTGCGCCTTCTCCTGCCTTCCGATTTTGTACAGTTTTTTTTAAACCCAAGGTTCTTCATTTCAGGCTAAGGAGGAACATAGTGGGTTCTTCTCAAGTAGGGGGGAAGCGAAATTCAGCCCACCCGCCCCGAAGTCCCCTTGCCGACTTCACAAGATCACGACCCTCAGTTTTTCCGTGTTAGGTTTAAGACATCTGAAATTTTTAACACATGGACCAATGAAGGACCGACTTCAGTTACAAATCGAGCTAAAAATCAGCTCGGCTTTGAAATGAAAGGAAGGCTAAGCAATTAGTAGTCACTTTCTGAATCCCAAATCAATGACGCCTTGCGGATAAACACCACCAGTTCTTTGAACTGTTCCTTTCTATTGATTTTGGGTTTCTGTAGGATCAATAAACATCGCCTCCTGTGATCTTTCTTTCCTTTTTCTAAAGGCTTACGTTTCATCATTACCACAGAAAGCTTTACCCAGATGACTTCCCCCCCCTGCGGTTTTCTCTCACAGAGGCACTGTAGGGTGGCCAAAGTTTTATTCTGCTAAACGAGGATGGGATATTTTTAATTAATTAATTTATTTTTTACAACGGCTCATAGAAATCTGCTTGAAACAAAATATACGGGGCGTAATTGCCGACTAATCTGGAATATGCTTCTGGGTTTCTTCAACAGGGAGAGAAAAGGCTGGATCCAGGAAACCGTCCTCTGAACCTCCTGGCCGATCACAGCCGTGGGTCGGATCTTTCCGATATTATAGAGGAAGAGGAGGAAGACGAAGAGGAGGAAGAAACGAGGCCTAGTCAGTGGGCAGCCTTGAAAGGGGACCCGAGTAAATGCCCCAGTGGAGAAAATGGAGAAAAGGTAATTTTCTTCCTGCCTTATTGAAATCTTTCGGCAGAGCTGGATTCCCATTGGATTTATTGTATTCCTGATTAAATTCCAGCCTGACTCTTTTTTAAATGACAGAGTTCAAAAAGACATTTATGGAGTTCCTGAAGGAGAGGCTGTGTGGGACACTGGTTAGAGACAACCTGAGGGAGGCAGCTGGCCTTTTCTTGACACTGTCAAATATCCGTTCCATCAGCCCCTGGGGGTTGTGTAACCATCAGGCATCGTTATGGGATGGCAACTTGTTTAGGGCCACAGTCAACCACTGCTGGGTTAAGAATCTCAGAGTAAGATTTCGGAAGGCAAGGTTCTAGTATATATTTATATTCAATCGACTGGAGTTTTCTAAGTTCTCAGCAGCACCAAAGACATACAAGAACAGCATGAATTTGAATCCAAACCCAGGTTCTAGCTTTGCCCTTCCAGCAGCAGGAGAAACGCTTTGGAACCATGTGGTCGTGTTGACATATGCAGGGTTATATACATTGGGGTTGCAAGCCACGCCAGCAATGTTGGGCCGATCCTGGCCTCCTCGTTCAGCGCTCTGATGGAAAATCAGTTCTCTCCGAAGCTGATCATTCTTTCTCTTGATTCCACACGCTGGGGAGCTGTGTGGGGGCTTACCATCGACTCGGACAAACACCCTCTGGGTTGTTCTCCAGATGAATGCAAGAGAGATCTGTTTGTGGAAAATAAATTTCTCCGGTGTCATCTGATGGTGCCAAAGAAAACCTCACAAATGGACTAATGCCTCCCATCCATCTACATGCTTCAGAAATTCTCTTTTCTTGGAGTTATTCATTTTAGACAGCTGTTTTTTTTCTGCCTGGATTCCTCTTAGCAGCTGTTCTGACAGCGGCTATAATTCCTTCCCCACACACCCCCTTGCTTTCATCCAGAAGGACTGATGGTTCTGGAACCAGCCCATTCGCCTTGTTTTTTCCGGACAACGTGGGACAGGAATCTGTGAAGATGATTTAAAGAGGAGCCCTAACGTGTTGCCACAGTTTGTGTGAGATGACGCAGCATGGGGAGAATCCCAGAGCCAAGATTCTAGTCCTCATTAAATCGAAGACATATTTTAGGTTTCTGCCTCCAGAAAGGGAAACTTCGTGGATCTTAAAGGGGTTGTACTGGTTCCTCTCCCAGTCTGTGTACTGCCTTTATCAGCCAGAGGTTGGGTGTTCGATTCCCCCGCAGTGCCTCCTTTGACAGAGGCTGGGCTCAACGATCCAGCTCTGCATTTTGATTATTATTATTATAATATCTAGGCAGCTCAATTCCCCACTGAGGGACTCTCTGCAAGGGGGAAAATCCTCACCCATGGAAGGCACCGACCCTCTCCTGCTTTGGTTCCTCTAGCAACCGGTTTTCATAGATAAACTACTCCTAAAGGTGGGGGCTCTGCTGATTGACCACCCTCCACCACCCTGGTTCCCTCTTCCTAACCCTCCTTTAAGGCCATCTGATAGAGTCCACGGTAGGTGCTTTTTTATATATAACACCGATATCCTCTCTCTTTCTTTCTCTCTGCTTTCCTGGGGGCCGGCCTGGCTTTTCTCTGGGGCTGGAAAAAAAAACAGCAGCAAGAGCCGGGAGATACGGACAGCGATGACGAGATCTTGGAACGGATTCTGGAAATGCCCTTGCCGAACACTTGCAGGAAAGCCCTGTTTAGCATCCCGGAAGTGGCAGAGGAGGAAGAAGAGGAGGAGGAAGCCAAAGCCTGGGGGAAGCCTCCCCCCAGCCATCCGGCTTCTCCCCCTCCAGAGAAAAAAGCGGGGGACACCGACCTTGAGGAGCCCCGCGGCCCTACCAGAAGGATGGCGCTCTCTCCTCCTGCTTCTCCTCTCAGGGAGAACATCTACCAAAATCTCCCGGAGAAGATGTGGCCAGCAAGGGGTCACCCTCCGCCGTCTAGGAGAGAGGACATGGGGAGACCCTCTCCGGCTTCCCGGGGATGGGAACGGGACTGTATGGAGCAGCAAACCAAGCCTGCTGGGGAATGGAGAGGCCCCCGGCGTAGCAAGGAGAAAGTCCAGTGGACCAGGAAGCAACGGTCGGATGCAAACCCGGAACGCAGGGCCTACCAGGCCAGAGGAGGTCTTTACAGAGTGCAGAGCTTGAAAGAGAACTTGGACATCATCTCCAGCCTCGGGGTCCAGCAGATCTCTGACCTGTGCCTCGGGGCCAGGCCGAGGCCCCACCAAGCGTCTCCGAGAAGGACGATGGTCCAGGAGCCAGGGGGCGAAGCCTTCCGAGGTGTCTCCCGCGGCCTGAGCCCCGAGAGCATGGAGATCAGCATCGAATACGACTCGGACGATGACCTGACTGTGACCTCCACCGCGGCCAGCCAGCCGAGCTCGGACGGCCGGGCCGACGGGTCGCCCACGGACTGCGAGGAAGGCTGGAGCGACTGCTCCGGATCCGTGCCGTCCAGCGGGCCGAGGGAGCTGAAGCGGTGCAGCAGCTGGGAGGAGGAGAGCGCGGAGTGGAGCGGGTCCCCCGTGGGCTCGCCTGGCTTGAGACGGAGAATCGCCTCGGAGGAGCGGAGTCGGAGTCTGGAGCGAAGCCCTGCGCTCTGGAGAGCCGTGCATGAGCGGCCGGGGCGAGAGGGGGCCCGGGCACCGTCCCTGCACACCTGGGTCCGTGAGCCTCTTTCATGGTCTGTGGGTCGTGTCACAGCTTGGCTCTTTGCTGGCGGTGCATTTTTAACCCTCCCCCCAGTCTCCTCGGCTTGCTTGCATTCTGCTTATTGTCTCGAGCGATTCCCAAAACAGCAGCTTCGTTTCTTTCTGGGGAGTTTGTGTGGTGCATTGCGTGACATCTTCCGTGGCTTTTCTCCCAATTTGCTTGAAAATAAATGTTATCGGCTGCCGGGCTGGCATCATCTGTCAAAAGTCCTCAGTGCAGGATTCCTCTCCTCTGGGGAAACTTTAGGAAGGAACTGGGCAAAAGGGAAATATTCCTGGCCACCATTTTCCAATATTACCAAAAACCAGTCACGAACTAAATCCTGAGAAAAGCTCCTCCTGTGAGTACTCAGATGCTTTCCGCAGTTAAGGAATTCTCTTATCTAGTGGGAACTCACCTGTAATGTTTATTTCTCCCCAAAGTGAAGCAAATTTTGGAGTTGTCAATTCAACTGAATTGGTTTTACTCTCAATTTACTGGATGTACCAAAAAGATTGGCTTGGGATCCTATTCTGGAAAGTTTCCGAAAGAGGAATACTGCACGCTCATGCTTTGCTTTGCTTTGGTATACTTGCCGTGGGGTGTTGCCAAAGTTTCTGTGGCTGGTGACCTGCAGAGAGCTGAGGGATTGATTCTGCTGTATTTTCTCTTCCAGGCAGCAACGGGTGATGGCTTTCTGGAGTCGCTGAGCTCGGCAACGTGGCGGGCCCCCACCCGAAGAGGCCGAAGGCTACGGAGAAAGAGGCGAGAAGCAGCCGCTGCGGGAGATCGTAGTTCTGGTGAGCTCGGTTACAGTTTCTGGGAAAAGACAGAACTTTAAGCCTCAGTTTTCCCATCTGTAAAATGGGAATCGTGGAGGGACTCCTTTGCAGGACTGTTAGGAGAATAAACAATTCAAGACTTCCCCGGATTCTTGAGGAACCTGAAAAATGGTTCAAGGTGTCCCACCTCAAGCTGAAAGACAGACAAAGAGTTACAAGATGGGTGATACTTGGCTCAGGAATACTCTGAGAAAGAAGATCTTGGAATTGTCGTAGGTCACCGGCTGAATATGAGCCAACCGTGTTATGTGGCTGCAGAAAAGGCCAAGGCCATGTCAGGCTGCATTAACAGACATGTAGTCTCCATATCTCGTTAGGTTCTACTTCCCCTTTATTCAGCACTAGTTAGGCCTCATCTTGACCCCTGTGCCCAGTTCTGGACACCACACTTCAAGAAGGATGCTGACAAAATGGAACAAGTTCAGAGGAGGGCGATAAGGATGATCAGGGGGCTGGAAACCAAGCCCTAGGAGGAAAGAATGAAAGACTTGAAAGGCTGTCATTCAGAAGAGAGGCAGGATCTGTTCTCTGTCATTCCAGAGTGGGGGACACGTCATAATGGGTTCAAGCTACAGGAAGCCAGATTTAGGCTGAATATCGGGGGGGGGACTTCTTAACTGTAAGAGCAGTACAACAACAGAACCTCTGACCTGGGTAGGTGGTGAGCGAGCAGATCCCACTCGGGACTGACGTCCCCAGTTACTGTGTCCCCAGCAGGTGCTTGGCGGAGCCCTTCTCCAGAAACGATGGACGAGGAGGACTCATCACGGCTATTTGTGGCCCTCTTCGACTTCGATCCCATCTCCATGTCTCCCAACCCGGACGCGGCCGAAGAAGAGCTCCCGTTTCAAGAGGGCCAGGTTCTGAAGGTGAGAAGGGCCGGCTCTGGGGTGGCAGCCACAGCTGACCTGCGTGTCTCTGCGAAGACCAAGCCAGATCTCATGGAACAACAAGGAAGCTTCGGAGGGCTCCAGAACACCTCACCAAGGTCGATCTGGAGGAAGCAAGGGCAGTAGGATCCCAGTATTCATGGAGGGGGAATAGATACAAGCTCCCTCCCATTGCAGATGCCGAAAACCGCAGATAATAGCAAACCTTAGGCATGACATGGTCTCTGGCTACCTCTAGTGGCCAGGTCTGGTCATTATATCATGCAAATACGTGCTCATGGGTTTTTTTAAAATGTTTTTAATATGTTCAGACCGTGGATAAGTGAAATCGCGGATACTGATCCCGCAGACACGGGGGTCCCTAACTGTAATATGGCATGTCTATGACACCATTATTTCTAAGTGAACATGGCTAGGATAACCCCAGGGGAGTCGAATTAGGATTAGTCGCTCTTCATGTGATGTAGCATAGCCCGGATCTGTAAGGTGCAACACTTGGACTTTTTGATATGATGAGAGTATGGCCTTCCTTGTCTCCTCTGACATCATCTGGAAATGAAATAGTAGAGTGTTTTTACCCCAGATGGATTAGGGCAATAGGTGATCCTAGCAGGAGTAGATTGATCTGAGCTACCCCTGTTATCCTGAGTCTTTGAGGGTAGCCTGGTTTGGTGGAGACATTAAGATCCATTGGCTTTACAAAAGACCTGTTCCCAGGGATATGGAGTCTGCTCAACCCCATAAGCTAGTATAGATCAACGGCTGGCTGTATTTTGGACTCTGTTGAGGATGCTGGGCTAGAGGATGACCCGCGCGCCAGCGTCGCTGAGCTTCCTTCTGCAGAACTCCCCGTGTGCTGAGAGAGATGGGGGCGGGTGCATTCACATCGAGGGCTCACCGGTCTCCCTTCCTCCTACAGGTCTATGGCCACAAGGACGCAGACGGCTTCTACCGAGGGGAATGTGACGGCAGAATCGGATACATCCCGTGCAACATGGTCTCTGAGATCCAGGTGGACAGCGAGAGGGCACGCCAGCAGCTCTTACAGGAAGGACGCCTCTCTGCTGATCGGCTGGAGGAACATCCAGGTGCCCGACCCGTTTCTTTTACCCAATCCACTCAACGAAGGAGGTGCACGGAAAATGAAGCATCAGTTGCTTTTTGACTCGGGTCGTAATCACACAGACCATGTGAACCGCCATGGCATCGACTCGGCCATTATTTAAATCGTTTTATGACTTTCTGTTCACGTGACTCCGGGGGGAATGCCGAGTCATTTATTCGGCCAGTCGATCAATATTTTTTCCAACCTTGCTGGCACTGGCTTTTTAAAATGATACAATTCCCTAGAATTGCTTCTATCCACATCGGTTTGGTGCGGGTGAATCTGATTTGCACCCATTGTGTTTTCGGCACCAGGGCCACTGCACTTGTTTCCCCTTAAAAAAAAAATTCAACTGCGAAGTGATATATCGGTATTCTGTCCTCCAAGAGTTTAGCGCTGTATCACTTCCTTATTGTAACGTTCATTCCTGCTGGTCCCTTCCCTTACGTGAAGTAACACCCCACTTAGCGTCCTTTGAGAAATAAAGCGCCCTAAAACCCAAGAACTGCCAAGGGACACCTTGCATTATGGACCATCTTCCAATATCACCTTCTAAAGCTTTTCACACAAATTAGATGCTGCTTTAGCGATGTATCACTTAGGTATTTTTAACCACAAAATTTTTTTTAGAGTAGCATGCTCCTGAAAGAGAACAAAAAATGAATTGAAAACCTGTTCAAAGTTCCAGAAATGTGTAGAAAGAAAAGACAGCCATGTGACTACAATTTATGGTCTGTGTGACTATACATAGTGGTATAAAGGAAGGAGGCAACTGAAATGATTCAAAGAGCCTGTGTGATTAGGCCTTATTAACTTATTGGTTGTATTTCGTACCCCTTTCCAGTAACCCACCCAAGACAACCAAACTCTGACAGATCTTATTTCCCAAAAATGCAGCAGGACTCCTGTCTCTGCGGGATTCGTATCCGCTGTTTCACTTATCCACAGTCTGGAATGCAGCAGGACTCCTGTGTCTGCGGGATTCATATCCGCTGTTTCACTTATCCACAGTCTGGAAACATTAAAAATATTAAAAAGCCCTAGAAATGTGTATTTTCAAGATGTATTTAGCAGAACTTACCACTAGATGGAGTCAGAGGCCATGTATTCTTGTGGTTGAAGAATACATAGTATGGTCTTTCTCTCCCTCTAGTGGTCCGTTCTGATTAAAAAATATGAAAATACTTTTTCTGGATTTTTCCTTTCTTTTACCATACTATGTATCTGTAGTTTTCAGCATCCACAGGGTACTTGGAACCAAACCCCTCCCCCAAATACAGGGGTCCTGCCATATAACCAAACTCACTTTCTGTATCATAGTTCCTGCGTGCCAATGTTAAAAATACTGTATTGAGATTCTTCTTACTTGGATTGGTGACTTACCAATTCTGTCACTTCTTAACAAGTCCGTGTTTCCTCCCAGCAGAAAACAGCACGTTTTCCTCGCCAGCACAGCGCCCCAGAGCTCGCCCTCCGAAGCCTCGGCGTTCCAAAAAAGGTTTGTGTTTCCTCCTGAGTTTGGTGTCCTGAGTTTTCTTTGCCTTCTGCTTTATTTTAAGGGGATTGAGGCAAAGCCACTTTCAATTTAGCCATGCCTTCTGAAACACTCCGCAGCGCAGTGGAGAGAATGACAGGACTCTTGAGACCTGGGTTCAAATCTCTGATTGGCTGTAGAATCCCCTGGGGGTTGGTGGCAAGGGTAAACTACTCACGGCACATCTCGCATAACCCATACATCAAAGCCACTTGACAGCATGTAATACAAATATGGTTTGTTAATAATTGATGTTTTTGGCTTTATATTATTTTAATTGTATATATGCTGATGTTAGCCGCTCAGAGTGGTATAAATATACCAGATGGGCAGGATATAAATCAAATAAATAAATAAATATGTGACAGTTAACTCATCATTTGCAAAGATCCCTGTTTATCCCAGCATACACTATCCTCAGCAATACATGTGATGAATTGGCTTGCTTTTGTTTTGTGATTGGCCATTGGGAAGTGATTACAGGCTCCCTTTGCAAATTGATGGCTCGGGCATGGTGCTTTGAAGGAATTACATCTCGAGAGGGAAAAACAGATCACAGCTTCTATTGATTCCCTACAATTTGGGCTTCCTTTGCTCAGGGGATCGGATTTTCTTTGGCAGGGCAGAGAAATGTAATTTATTAATCAGTGCATCTTTTATTGCCCACAGTGGGACAGAAGAGGAAGGAGGACGCGGTTCCTAATTTTGGTGAGTGTTCCTTCCACGAAGTTAAAACTGGGGTTTCCTCAATTCCTTACAATCGCGCTCTGTAGCCTGAAAGTCTGCAGCATGTCATGGAGGTTTAAGGGGCTGTAAAACTCATCCATTGGTCTCCAGTCCTCAGAAATCAAGGCGAGAGGTAGAAAATGGATGAATAAAGACATTATATGGAGGGTATGTGCACACTTAAATTCTTGCAGTTGATAACAGCAGTCAAAGAGTCACTGCAAACCAGGTACACTGGGAGTGAAATGCATATTAAAAGGTTTTAACGGCACTTGGAAATAGAAAAAAAAGTCTCTATATCTCTGTGAAGCTTAAAATATACATTATAGATAGCCTGTCATTAGAAGCAGGAACTACTTCAGTGCTGAGAACATCTGATTGTCACAGCAGGAACTTTCCACACCTTGTGCAGTCTACAAATTAACCTGCTTTGCTTTGCGATCAGCTGCTGGGATGTAAACCGAGGCTTCGTTTGCAGGGCTGATCCCTCAGATTGGCTGGAATCATGTCTCTGAAGAACGAGTGCAATTTCAGTTTATTAAGTCCAACGTGCAGTTTGGCCCTAAGTCGCAAACAAAGGGGAAAATTCCTTTTGAAATGGACTTGTTCCGATAACTTAACAAGGAAGGGGGGGAGTCACAACTTACATCTCACAGAAGAAATTAATAGTACGGCAGAGTCATTAAGAAATTATTTACTCACAGCTGATCCCCTCCTTTCTTCTGTAATTAAACATTTCCTTTCTTGCTTAGGGGCTGATGACATTTGGGAACCCAGCTCTGAAGAGGAGACCCCAAGAACCATGGTCGCTATTTTTGACTACAACCCTGCAGAGAGCTCTCCCAACGCAGACACCGAGGTAACAAAGGGTGCTCTTCACTCCATATTTTCTGATCTGAAAAGCCTAGATCTTAATATTTCATTTTTTTAAATCTCACTATTCAGGGACCCAAAGCCACTGATGAAATAGCAAGAGAGGGAGGTTTTTAACACAGATACATATGTCAAAATATGAAGCATTTCCATATAAAAATGGAGAAATATGAAAAATTAAATTGCAATATTAGGCCACCACTGTAGCTAAAACGATTCAGAAACCACAGAATAATCATCCTAATAAGCTATTCCAGAGTGTTTTCCTGCCACAGTTCACTCAGTCATGAATGAGCTTCAGCATACGGTTATATTAATATAATATAATGTATATTAATACAATGACTGGGCAAACCAGTAACATTTTAACCCTGCCTTTTCTTGAGAGACAAGCTACATTTAAAAAAGTCTTGATTCATCCATTTTCCGCCACTCCCTTTGAGAGACAAGCTACACAAAAAAAGACACTGAGTTCAATTGTTTGAAAGGAGAAAGCTTGCTTATAAGCCCAAAAAGCGAAGTCTTTTTCAAAATTCTGTTTAAAATAAAACTCCCTGATTTTGGAAACAGTTGCGCACGGCTGAGCAGCTGTGGACCTCTGGATGCTGTGGGGTTCTAGTACCCATCTTCCCCAGCTAGCCAAGGAAGTTTGGCAGTGTCGGGAGAGGCCTGGGGTTCCCACGCAATCCTTATCCCAGGGGATCCTTTGGAGAAAGATCTGCTCCAGAAATGGAGTTGGTTTCCAGGCAAAGATTGAAAACGGAGACCCAGCGCCCACCCGTTTTCAGCCGGGCCCCACCTCTGATCGGGACACCATCACCACCACCCCGTGTTGATCTTTCTTCCTAGGCTGAACTGACGTTTTGCGCAGGGGACCTGGTGACCATTCTCGGTTCCATGGACGATGACGGTTTCTACTACGTAAGTCCCCTGCGGAGCGGGTCCTCTGCTCAGGGCTGTTTGGAGACTGAGCATGTCACGGATTGTGTGTGTGTTTCAGTGAATCCATTCTAGCTTGTCATCACTGCCCACCAGAGCTGTTCCGGGTGCTGAATGTGGTCAGGAATGGATGGGGGGTTCAGCCCTTCCGAGATTCCCCGGCAAAGTTCGGACTAAAACCCGGAGCGGATTCTCTACACCGTACTCCAGGGTGCCAAGAAAATGGCAGAGTGGGAGCTCTCCCAAGGAACAGGGTGGATCTGAAGGGGGGAGTGTCTGGTATTCCAGGGAATCATTAGCCTACAAGTCCCATCATCCCCAGCCAACACAGTCAGGGATCAGGATTTGAGGTGCTAGAAGTCCCAAAGGCCTTTCCTTTCTGCCTCTGCAGGCGGAGATTCGCGGGCAGAAGGGCCTCGTTCCGTCTAACTTCCTGGAAGCCGTGGCCTCGGAGGACGTGGGACCGCTTGACGAGTCCAGCCTTGGAAGGCAGGTAAGGGGGTGGAGGAAAAACGACCATCCAACCTCAGTTTTGAAAGAAAAAGAAAAATAAGAGCCTTCTCGGAGGAGCCTGTATTGCCAAGGAAAACTATCGAAGGCTGGCTCAAAATAACCTTCCTTGTCCTTACTGTGATCTAAATTCTTGTGTGCGTGTTTCCTATTCTTGCACACACACCCCAACGCCTGCTTGTGTTCCCCCAGCACGTGAGAAAGAGACGGGTCCAGTGATACACAGGGAAAGGAAATGAGAAAAGAGAAAAAAAAGAGAGAAATCCCGTAAGTGCCTCAAGTAAAACTTGATTGTGAAAAGGTGAGGCTGTATTTTTTAACAAACGGCGTGGCGGGCGGTGGGTTGGGCCACGGCAGCATTGCGTGGGTACCTGGAGCGGGGTGTTGGCATAAGGTGGCATGTGGTGTCGGCAAGGTGGGGGAGCCTGGTCTCCATGTCACTGTAGGAGGGGGGGAGCTTGGTGAATCCGCTCCGGCTTTTTTTCCGAACATGAAAGGGGTTCTGTGCGTAGCTGCTGCTAATTTTTAAAGATGCTGTCCAGACGGCTATTCGATACCTTGCGGAGTTCATACAATGTAGAAATGAAAGCCTCTCGCCCAGAGTCTATTTAGCGCAGGAGAAAAAAAATTGAATAAAGACATGACAGAGGTACCAAAACAGTGCTACAGAGGCATCTGTCTTTCTGTTCCCTGCCTCTCATAATCCTTGAACCCGGCCATGGCTGGTGACTTTGATTTGACAGGAATGGTGAAGCTACTCCGGGTTTTGGTTTGAACTCTACCATAGCTATCCTCGTGTCCCCACGCACACACTAAAACATAAAACCAGGCTGAGCACCTTATAAAAAGTGTGTAAAGTTCAAACCAAAACCCAGAGTGGATTCATTGGCCTATCCTAGGCCTATCCTAGGCCTAGTTCACTTACCTTACTTTCTCCCCTTCTTCTTCTGTAGTGGGATCCACTCGATCACAAGGGACACCCTCGTGAGATCTTTGCTCAGCAGCTAAAAGCCACCTTTGCCTCCTCAGTCGTGGAGGGGAGCCTCTTTGTCCTTCGTGACCCTGAGATGGGACTGCCTCAGTGTTAAGGGTCAAAAAGATGTCGGGGGGGGGGGGGGCCTCCATTCCTGGAAGTTTCAAAAACTCAACCCTCGCGAAAAGGACGCTCTGGTGGCGACGGCTGCGCTGAGCCACCAGAAAAAAGTACTGGAGTAAGAGAGAACGGAGTAATGAGGACTAGGAACCTCAGCCATGATGGCATTTTGTTTCCAGGAAATTGCTGGGTGAAGTCTGTGAAGCAAGGGGGACGTGTGTGAAGCTCCAGAAAAGGGGCTATGTCCCCCCCCAAAAAAAGCCCCACAAGATCTCTTTTCCTCAGTGTGTGGTTTTGCCTGTGACGTCGTTTTGTGGGCACCCCCCCAATCTCCGTTTATTCCAGAAAACATCTCCTGTTGATGGAATCCAAGCGCCTTCCTCAAATCCCTTCTCTCAGCAGCTCAGCTCCCTCCCCGTCTGACGTCTCCAGTCCCGAATCCAGAACTTTCCCTCCTCACCCTGGTGTGCAGGGGTGACTTTGAATCCAGAGCTTTCCGCTCCTCCTCACCCTGGTGTGCAGGGGTGACTTCATCTGAAACAGAAGAAAGGATGGGTTGCCATCAACGAGAGGACCAACAAAGTGGGAAGAAATTTGTTTCTTTTGAAAGCTGGATGGACAAAAGACAGCCAGGCTTCCGATCCACACATGTTCGCCCAAAGAGGATTCACACACCTCTCTTGACCTGTGTCGTTATCTTTTGACCCGGGAATGTCTCCCTCCAGAGTTTTCGGGAATGAGATTCACAGTGGCCAGAATCCTACCGGGCTAGTGTGTAAACCCATCATCGTGTAAGCGATATGCACTGCTGTTCAGGCGGGTTGCCACTAGGAATGGGATCTCTGGATTTATTTATTTTTATCTCTACATCCCATAATTCTCCATTCTGGGTTTTCTATCCAACACACCCACACTGACAGACACCTAAATGGGGCTCACCTGGGGGGGCAAGGCCTAGCTTAAGGCTTTGAGGCCTATCCTAGGCCTAGTTCCACCTGAACTTCCTGTGTAGAAAGGAAACTCCTGGCTACACAGGAAGCTAGGCCTAAAATAAGCCCCAAAGACTTCCCAACTAGGCCTTTTCTCCAGGTGAGCCACATCTTGGTGTTGATCGATGTGGTTCTATCAGGTGGAACACCCAGAACGGAGAGCTATGGGCTTTGTAATCCAAAAGAAATCCAGAAATCCCATCCCTTAGCTGTCGTATACTCAGGTGGTCCTCAGTTCATGCACTCAGTTATGGTCACTGATGTATAACAGATATACCGCGAGGCAGAGGTGCAGTCAATATATGATTTCCTTAGTACATTATTTTAATAGGGATGATGTATGGAAATCGTGACACCTCTGGAGGAACTGAATTGGTCTCTTTTCCTCCTAATTCCTTTTATGCACCTCTTAAGCAGCTCAGCAGCTCTGTGTACAAACATCTCAGAATTGTGCAGTCAGCACAATAGTGGGGTGGGGCGGGGGCAAGATAAAATAATATTCCACCGCTTTGTCTCCTTATATAGGGTCACCTGAGACATTGTGGAGAACACATCCTTAAAAGCGAACATTCCTCAAGTGCTGAAAGACAGTTGACTGTCACATCTTTGCACATCTCCTGTAGTTTGCAAATCACCTTGTCTTGTTTTGTGATTGGTCATTGGGAGGCAAACACAGGGTTTGTTTGCATTGTTCAGTCTGGAATGTCTGCCAGAACTGCTTTTCCGGAACACTAACGGATTTTAGCTTTTAATTACAGTCTCTCTGTAATGGTCAAAATCCTTAGTTATGCCCACAACACCAACACTGTTACTTTTGCTAGTGAATTGCCACAAAGGTTCAAAGTCAGCCTAGGCAGGGGCAGAGGTGAGATTTTTGGATTTTATTTACTACAAATCCCAGAATTCTCTATTCGGGGAGTTCTACCTGGCAGACAGCTAAGGGGAACCTTTACCTTTACCTTACCTACCTGGCAGACAGCTGCCTAACTATTTATTATTATTATTTATTTTATTTATTTGAACATTTATAACCCATCCTATATCACAGGACCTGGTGGTACGTTACAAAGCTGTATGAAACAATTTTAAAACCTGAGATACTTAAAATAACTTGACATGAAATATCACAAAATTAAAAAATTCAGATATTAAAACCATTGCACTAAAACCTATCTAGGCCATGATCCTTCAGTCCCAAGGGATCTAATAAGTGTGTCATGACTTGGCACCAAAATGTTGCCAGTGTCAGTACTAATTGAGACTCCACGGGGAGGGGCATTAATTAACACCACTCTCTTTTGCTCACCTGGGAGAAGGGCCTTGACTGGAAGGTTTTGAGGCCTAGCTCCATGTAGCTCCCTGTTCATAAAGAAAACTCCCAGCTAGTACTGGGGCAGAAACAGGAAATGTGGGTGAGCTTAGGCCTAGCTGAGTTTCAGAGCTTTCCGACTGAGGCCTTTCTTCCAGGCGAGCCAAATTTAGCTGCCTGGCTATCAGAAAGGACTCTGAGAATTGAGAAATGTGGGGTTTGTAGTCCAAGAAATCTAAAAATATGATCTCTAGTCATGGGATTTCAGCACTCAACAGATAGCATGTCTGCTGACTTTGAAACTTGCAGCAATTCAGCACGAAGCATTACATTGTTTGCTTTACACCGGCGTAAAACAGCCATAAGGTTTGGGCCAGAGGATTGGTTAGCCATGAGAAAGAATCGCCACCAGCTTTGTACAAGGCTTTTGCTACGATGTGGGATATGCCGTGTCTTCGTCCCCCAAGTCCATGGAACATTCCAGAAAGCCAACTGTGGGCTCTTGTTTATTTCTCCTGGTCGCCAGGTTTGCCTTGAAGGAGAATTGTGAGTTGCGTTACCTGCCAGAGACACTCAAGAGGTTTTGCAGGAAGGAAAAGGAGGCTAAACCTGAAATTTTAATTTGAAAATATCTCTCCAATTAGCTGTGGGACTCTTCTCCTTCACCTTTCCTGCCGTGCCAAACAGATTCTGTTTAATCCTCAGGTCTATTTTCGGTGAATTTTTCTGCTCCCAAGGTCTTGTAAGCTGGGGAAGAAAGGAGGTTGCAACCCCACAACTCTGTCTCATGTGAGGTCCATTGCCATGCCCGTGGGAGTGTATTGTCATTGGTGTTGACATCCATGGTGTGTCTCCTTGCTGCTGATGTCTCTCTGCATGTTTTTCCCTGGGGGGGCGCGGGACCCTTCTCGTGCCGCTCAGTCTGGGCCATGGAACACGTGGACGAACGATGTTTTTTATTTTAAAAAGCAAAAACCTAATTTATTACATTAAAGTCTATTTTCACAAAAATCGAGGCTTCACGTTCCCAGTTCATTGTTTTTGCTAAGGGTTTGCTGGTAGGGATGGGATTTTTGGCTGGTTTGGACGACGGATCCCACTGGAAGGCAGCTAGGCCTAGCACAGCCTAACTTCCTGCTCTGAAAGCAAGCAAGCTCCCAGCGAGCACTGGGGCAGGAACAGGAAGCTTGGACAGAGCTAGGCCTAGCTTGGCCTCAAGAGCCTTCCAGTTAAGGCCTTTTCTCCCAGGCGAGCCACAGTTAAGTTGATTGTAAGGTGTCTGTCTTCCAGATAGAACTCCCAGAGTGGAGAATTATGGGATTTATACTAAAAAAAAGAAAATCAGAAACATGTTTTGCTGAGATGGGTGGGGAAGAATTCTCAACACCATTATTTCCCAGAGCAGTCAATCCTGCCACCATATTTCAATATGGAGACCCTGCATCCTGAGGAAGAATACCACACCAAGATGAAGGAGGACTTTAAATTACTCCATGAGCAGAGCTTAGATGTAACTAGTTACAAGTACTTGTTTTTGCCAAGTAGTTGTAGCTAGTTACAACTAGTAACTATAACTAGTAATTACACTGTTACTGCTTAGCAAACTATCTTTTGAGCCAGCTCTACTGTGACTTAAGCTACCTGGTTTATCTGTCGGATGAAGGACAGAATCACCCAGAGTTTAGAAAAGCTGCTTTTTCCAAACTATGCAGAATTATCCAGGAAATCCAGGAGAAGGCAGTCTCACAAAGACACATGGAACTTTCCTTTCCAAGAGGACACTTAAGTTTTAAAACGGGTTTCTCCTGATTATACCGGTGGGTTGCTTGGTCTTTGCAACGTTCGGCTTTCTGGAAGATGCAATAATTTGGGGTTTGTTTTTTTTCCAACCAGAGGGGATGGGGGAAGAGAGAGAGAGGAAAACATAGAAGAGCCTTCTGTTATGCCCTTAAAAGGGTATCCTTCATGTGCAGGATGCATTTCTCAGGTGCAAATAAGGGGAAGCCAAATTTCAACATTTTAAACTGCCTCTGCTCTTTCTCAAGGGATCCTAATTAACTGTGGTTTTTACAGAGGAGCGGGGCAGGAATGTTGTAATTCTGGTTTTCTTCCCTCTTCTCGAGTTAGAAAAAAAATTATTTTCTCTAGCCTGGTTATGTGCCAGAAAGGGTCTGACCAATTTCAGCTTTCCGGGCAGAGGGGCAAACCTGTGGCCCCTTAGATGTTCGGACTACCGCACCCAGCATCCTCCACTCATATGGCCCATGATGCAGGACGGCCTGGAGGGCTAAAGTTTCACCTTTCCCAACTCAGGTTGGGGATCCACTCGTTCTAAACATGTGAAGCCCTGCTGGATGTCTCAGTGATTTAGATCTCTGGCTGCAGAGCCCGAAGTTGGGAGTTCAATTCCCGACAGGACCTCCTTGGCAGGGGCTGGACTGGATGATCTTATAGGGTCCCTTCCAACCCTGCAGTTCTAAGATCATTATAATAATATTATTATTACGAGTAGTATACAATGGTGGGAACAACAGCAAAAGGGGAGAGGATAAATGTTCTGGCGTTTGCCTAGACTCACAGATTTATTTCCGTGTGACTCCCGGAGGTGACAAACCAAGGAGCAGAGAATCTGGGTTACACGGGGTATGTTTGTACATATTTTTATGCCTTTGGAAATGTCTTCACACCAACGTTCTCCCAAGAGAGGGAATACATTGTTTTGGATCTCAGGCTTCTCCAGAGCCGATCTTCCCCGGCAGATCCATCGCGCTGCCAAAACGACATACTTCCGTGTGACTCCTGGAGGTGACAAACCAAGGAGCAGAGAATCTGGGTTACACGGAGTATGTTTGTACATATTTTTATGCCTTTGGAAATGTCTTCACACCAACGTTCTCCCAAGAGAGGGAATACATTGTTTTGGATCTCAGGCTTCTCCAGAGCCGATCTTCCCCGGCAGATCCATCGCGCTGCCAAAACGACATACTTTCAAAATTATTTTTCATGGATCAGTTCGTCCCCTAGGCATCTTTCCTCTTATCACATCAGTTTGGGGAGATTTCCTCCACCTCCCATGATCTTCCCAAAACTCTTTGTGATGTAGATCAGACTGAGAAAGAGAGAGTGACCGGCCGGGCCGAGGCCAGCGTGAGACTCGCAGCTTGGCTGGGGGAGAGAGGCCAGATGGCTGACGCTCGGGCACAGAGATCTCTAACCACTGTGCCACCCTGCCTGCATAGAAAGCCCTCCGCTACTCCCTTTGAGTCCCTCCGTGCTGTGATTCGCGAAAATGTGCTAAGTGCCCCGGTTTGCTGGCCCCGTTTGCTTGATTTCGTTTGTCTTTCCACACTGCCGTTGGCAATGCCACCGCATGAGACAGCACAAGCGACACACCAGCCTGCCGGATTCTGTGCAACAGGCAATTCTGCAAGGCTCGGTTTTTCTGGAGAAGTCCCCTTCCTCATCACCCCCCATACCTCCTCGCTCGTTCCTGCACGGGGTGCAAAGCTTGGCCCGGATTTCCCCACCGCCTGGTGGGACAGGAACAGCCCACTGGCCAAGATTTGTGAAGTTAGGATACAAATCCTTGCAGGGGCCCTACATTTAGGGGGCTGCTGCGCCAGGCTTGATTTGCGTAGCTTAGCAAAAGGAGGGGGAAAGGGATCAAAGCAATTCCATGACTGCACAATCATTTGGATCCCTTTCCCCCTTATACAGCCACAGGATTGCTTTGATCCTTCTTCCCCTCCTTTTGCTAAGCCCCATGGGACTTAGCAAGCAGAGACCAAAGCAGGGATCAAAGCGATCCTGCAGCACTTTGATCCCTGCTTTCCTTTTGCTAAGGCTTAGCAAGTGGAGGGGAAAGCAGGGATCAAAGCCCTGCAGGATCACTTTGATCCCTGCTTTCCCCTCCACTTGCTAAGCCTTAGCAGTACCTCTGTCATCCCTGCTTTCCCCTCCACTTGCTTTTTTTCCCTCCTCAGCTTACTTTTGTGTATAAGACAACCCACAATTTCTAAAGATTTTACACAAAAGTATAGTCTTATACATGAAAAATATGCTAATGGTTCTACTTGTTGCCATACTGCAAATCCCAGCACCCTTCACCATGGTCTGGGCTGAGGCTAATGGGAATTGTAGTCCAGCCACCCCTGAAGGGCCCAGTTGCTCCCACCCATATATCAAAGGCCGATACAGTTCAGAAACCAGAGAGCTAAACAGGAAGAGTTTTTGTAAAGTTCAGAAGAATGTTCTTTAAATAAATATACCTTTTGTAAGGAACAGGGCAGCTTTTTAGAGAAGATTATGCAGGCCCTGGGGGAAAGTTTTCTAAGCATCTGGAGGGAAATTAAAACTTTCTTTTTCCTTCTGCACTGGAGCGAGAGTCCGAGTAAGCTTAAAAATATTTTATTTTCAAACCACGCAGTCTTTATAATTTGGGCAGACAGGTCTTTTAAAAGGCCTTTAATTTCATTTAAGAATCTAAGGAGAGCATGTTGAAGTCTGGAGGACTCTGTTCAAACATTCTCCATGGACTGATTGGCAAGATGATGAAACGTTAGTGCCCCCGAGACGAATCCTTCCTGGCTGTTGTGTTTCATCCCGTGGCTTACTGCCTCATGGCTAACCATCCAGCAAAGCCCATTCACACCTTGTAAAGCCAACATTGGAAGATCAACCAATGTCTTTTACTTTTCAAGGCAGCGTTGCTTCTAACTGGGAAGCTGCCATCTCGCCTTTTTGTTGGTTTTTCTGCCAGGACCTGTCAAGTAGATGTGTTGAGATGCTGAGGTACTGAATCTTTCTTCTGCTTGGGCCTTCCCCCGCCCCATTTTTTGATCCATGGGCACCCAGTGGAAGATGTGTTTCAGGAAGGAGAAAAGAATTTATTCATTTATTTTATTTTATTTAGTAGGTGTGGTGTGGGTGGGTTTTGTTTTTTTTGTCATTTCCTCCACCAATCAAGTTCTTGTGGTCAGAAGTTCCTCCCATTCTCTCGGTTGTGAGTACGTAGAAAAAGTGTTGGTCACCAAATCACTTGAGGTCAGGCAGCTAGAAAATGGCAGGTGAGTATATTTTTTCTCTTCACCTTTATAAAAAAAAATTCCTGATTTATCCTTCCCTTTTTTGGGGATGTCTCTCTTCCTGGTAACTTTCTCCGTCCCACCTTTCCCCCACCTGGTCCCTTCTGGATGGGTTACAATTCCCATCATCCCCAGTCAACGTGGCCCCTGGAGTTGCACCCCCAAAGATGGGAGGAAGAGGAGTTTTGCATGGTGGCCCTGAAAAGCTCTTTTTCATGAGTAGCAAAAGTTATTTAAAAAAAACCCAAAGGTGGTGTGATCTGATTTTGTTCTTTTAAAAAAAGCTTGTAAGCCACCTGTAGCCGGTATCCTTTCATGGAAAAGGTAGGGTATAAATGTAATACATAATAAGATCTTGATTTGAATGGGAGGGTTAAATATGTGGATGAAAATCCCACTGGAGTTTCTCGTTTGTTGGGGGCACTTCCAGATGTAATGTTTCCACTTCTGTGATTTGCTTCCTTTTCTTTCTCTTGCTGATGGAAACCCATGGAACTTACATCCTCGTGCTAAGTGACATAGCGCTACATTGAATCTCTCCTTTAGCGCTGTACTGTACTTGACTTGTGCTTGAGCATCAAGGGGCCCAGAAAGTGTTGGGCATCACTGAGCAAAAGTCGTGCCCTTTCTCCTTCAAAGTCACCTTGGGTCCTTTTAAGGAGAAAGGCATCTGGGGTTGCAAAGCATCTGGGAACAGCCCACTGGCCAAGATTTGTGAGGTTCAGATGCAAATCCTTGCAAGGGCCCTGCTCCCTGGGGTTGCAAAGCTCAGCCCGGATTCCTCCACCGCCTGGTGGGATAGGAACAGCCCACTGGCCAAGATTTGCGAGGTTCGGATGCAAATCCTTGCAAGGGCCCTGCTCCTCCAAACTGAATTTCTCTCTCCTTTGGTGAAGGGAGAATTTCCTGCTGCTCTAAACCTTGTGTATATTTCTAGTTAGTTAAAAAAAGAAAACAGCCCAGATGGCCAATCACAACTGATAGTGGATCTGGAGGGGTGTTTAACCATTTTTTTAAAAAATAGGACCCCCCTCTTTGTTCTAAAACCTATCTCTGGAAAATCCATGCCCCTATATTGTTCTACTGGGTGGAAGAAAGGTGATTCAACCAGACCTTGAGAAATCAAGATTCCAGTCCTCATGAGGTCGTGAAATCATTCCATTTCCCCCTTTTCTTCTGCTTCATTCTTCCTTTTGAACTGGACTGACCTTGGGTTTTTATTCCCTCTCCTTCCAGCCACAAAGCGGCACCTTGTGGCCCTTTTAAGTTTCTTGATGGTGTTGACGTCGCTGAGTAGAGGAGAGCCTTCTCTGAGTGGTACGTTCCTTTCCTTTGGCCCCGTGGGGGGTCTTTTAAAGAGATCTGGAGTGATCTGGGTATGGGGTTTCAAATCTCAAAACAGCCTGGTACATTTGAGCGTGTAGGAACAGAACCGCAGGGCATAACTCCTCTGAACACATCGCCGTTGGATTACACCCCGGGGCTGTCAAGAAAGCTTCCCTAGGAAGCGGTTTTCTCAATTTTGATAATCATGCAGAGTTTTTAAGACTCTTGCGATCCGCGTTTCCTTCAATCTGGAGTGCTTCTCCTGCCACTTTGGACTACAGATCCCAGCAGGCTGTCTGGGGGGCTTCTGGGAACGGGAGTCCAAAGCAGGAGGAAAGGAACGGGCGAGAGGAGGAAGTCCAAACCAGAGCTGAAATCAGCAAAGTTGAGAAGATGCTGCTTGCATCTAGGGGGCACAACCATTCTGCGAGGCGGGTCACGCCACGACCATGTAACACGCCGAGGGATTGGAACCCAGGTCTCTGGTATTCTATTTATTTATGTTTTATGCAGTTCTTTCATTTCCATGCCACCTCAAGGGGGCTGTAACCACTAGGCCACCCTGGCTTATTAGCTTTAATAACCAAAAGGTTCATGTAGATTGTAACAGACGTGTGCCGCTTATGACAGGCGTTGTGTGTCTGTTGTGTGTTTTGGTTGCAGCCCTTGGGAAAAAACTGGGTACCCCTGCACTCCTACAAAGCGTGGAACAAGCCAAGCAGCTGGTGGATTACTCATACGAACGCACCCAGGCCCGGTAAGCAGCTCCCATCGACCAATGTGACATTGCCTAGTGGTTAGGCCCTTGGAAATAGACCTTCACATTCCCAGGGCCTCCTAAGTCCTCTGAGAGCCTCAAAAACTTGCTGGGTGGCTTCAAGCTAGCCTCTCCCCTCTCTGGCTTCGCCTGGTCTACCTAACAGGACTGTTGTGAAGGTCTGAGGGGGAGAAGGGACAGAGCCCTTTACATGGACTTGAAGTCATGGGAGAAAAAAAGAAGATATAGATACGTCCCTGCAGCATAGGTCTGTTCCTGTGGAACATTCGAAGAGGAGAAATATTTAAAATTGAAATATATAATTCCTGATGGGCAGTGCAGCCTTTAAAAAATAATAATAATAAGGGTGTCTGTCCCCACCCACCAGCTTGAAGGAGAAGCTGGGGAGAGAGAATGTCAGCCCGTCGGATATCCTGGTATCCTTCAAGCAACCGGTGGGAAAAACCCGGGCGGCCGTCCGGGCGGCCGATTACATGCACGTCACCTTTGCACTTCTGAAGGAGAAGCTTCGCCACGAAGCCTCCAGAGACTTCAACATCACAGGTATGGAAGGGGCAGGGAAGCTGGTCGGACTCATCCTGACCTGGGCAGAGCAGCACAGGAGCTGAGGATTGGACTAGGATGAAAATGGGTGAGGGAGGGTCTGTCAGCCCCACGAATCTCAGATGTGATCCCCCAGAACTGGCTCCAAAACTCATTCAATATTTTTTTAAATTAAAAAAATAAGTTGTTAGTCATATTTTTACCCCTTCTGTGTTCCTGGAGATGCCCCGTTTTTCATTCAGAGGTACAGGAAGACACCTGTATCCACGGGGGATTGGCTCCAAGCGCACACCCCGGTGGATGCTGAAAAATGTGGATTATAGCAAACGCTACTTTAATGATAAATACTTTACAATATAGCATGGCCTCTGGCTCCATCTTATAGCCAATTCTGGTAATGACATCATGGAAATACTGTACAGTATACAGTACAGTATTTCCCTAGTGAATGCAATATACTGCATTGTCTCTGGCTCCCTATAGCGGCTAGTTCTGGTATATTCACCTTTAAAAATAAATATTTCTAGGATTTTTCTTTTTATAGTTTTAATATTTTCAGACTGTGGATAAGTAAACCAGCAGAAACTGACTCCGTGGATAAGGGGGTCCTACCATATTTATAAATACAAATAATGCCTTTAATTATATGTTTCATTGTGGGCTTTTTAACTTTGTGATTTACTGCATTTTAGTTGAACTTGCTTGATTCTTGAAGTGCCCCCTTCAGCTCCCTTGCCAGGGGAATGGCAGCATAGAAAGAAAGCAATCAAACAAATACATAAACCATAACGAGCATGAAATGGCCCTCTCTAGCCCTGATGAGCATGTGAGGGGGCTTTTCAAAATTTAGAAAAATATTTGGGGTTTTGGCAGCCCTTTGCCATTATTTTTGAAGCCCATGTGCAGATTAGCTGCACCAGAAAGGATTCCCAAAGATCATCTAGTCCAGCCCCCTTGCCAACAGAAGAAGCCACCAGTTAAAGCATCTTGGGCATTTAGTCATTTGCTGAAGGCCCACAAGCCGCTGTGTCTAGACAGAAATACAGATGTACGACTGATGGAATATAGGAAAAAGTTAGAGGTAATGGCCCATTTCTGGCCTTGGGCTTTATTTCTCCTCTGTGGTTTCTGATCTCTCTGGCAGATGTGCTGAGCCCGGATCAGATGCTCACCATCTACAAGGCGACCGGCTGTAGCCACCAAGAAAAGCAGACCATACAGTGTGATGACAAAAGTCCGTACCGGACCATCACGGGCGAATGCAATAACAAGTATGTTTCTCAAGCTGGGGTGGGCAGCTCCTGGGGTTCACAAACTGGCTTTTAACAGCCCCGATTAGTGTCCAAACTTTCCTTCTCATTTGAGATCCAGTCACCTTGCTTCCTTCACTACTTTTTGTGACCTTGAGTGCAGTGAAGCCCCATGGGTCCAATGTCAGCTGGGCAGTGAATCCATTCCAGGTTTTCCTTTTAGGGCCATAGAGGTTCTGCACTCTGGCTCGTTCATGCAAATTTCAGGGTAAAATTTGGAGCGGATGCACACTGGTGTATCAGCCTTCTGTCCAGGGCTTCCTGATTTACTTGGGCTGTCTTAAGGGTTCCATCATGTCAAATTCTTTGAATTAAGGGAGTTGGGATACCAATAAAATCCCTGAATTCTAGTGTGGCTCTGTATGGGCATCCCTTGGTGGACCAGACTCCCATTCCTGAATCTTTTAAAGGCCATGCCAATGATTGCCATCTCCCACAATCATTCTCACAAAAATCAGATTTTTTTTCCAGACTAGAAAAAACCTCTTTTGCCCCCTAGTGGCTATAGAACAGGAGATCTTACAACATGGCAAGATTGCCCTCCTATGCCCCCTAGAGGCTATAAAAGGAATTTAAAATCCCCTATTTAGGGGATAGAGATGGTGGTTTTTCTGTGGTTTTTCCATGGGAAAGGGTCTCTTTTCTTGACTTTTTGCATACAGTGGGAAATAAACTCTTGAGTTTTTTGTGGCCTCTTCCAGGAAAATTTCAACACTGGGGGCCAGCAACCGGCCCTACGCCCGGTGGCTTTTGCAGGAGTATGAAGATGGAGTCTGTCTCCCTCGTGGTTGGACAGGAACAAAGCGGTATAATGGATTTCTCCTGCCCAATGTGAGTCATTGACCCTTCCTTCCATACCATGTCTCTTTTTTTTCAATGTGAATTTCTATATTGGGGGACAGGGTGAGTGTGTGAATACAGAGCGGATGGATCCAGGATCTAGAAAGCAACAGATTCTTATCCATCATTCTCCAGGTCCGCACCGTCTCCAACTCTATCGTCCGTTTCCCCAATGATAAGCTCACAGAGGACAGGTTTCGATCCGTTATGTTTATGCAGTGGGGCCAGTTCATTGACCATGACATGGATTTTGGGCCCGGTGTGACGGCCACCCTCACCTTCATGAAGGGTGCGGATTGTGAGACCACCTGTGCCAAAGACACTCCGTGCTTTCCCATCGAGGTATGTGGAATGCCAGGACTTCTTTGGGCCGTGGCGTAGAGCAGCCACACTTGGAGGGACAGGGTAGAGCAGTGGTGGTGTCAAGGCTACCAAGGTCGAAGCACTAGGACTTTCTGATCTTCCCCCCACCATGACCTCCCCCCAAAATCTCACAAAAATATGAAAAGGCTTTTTCTGCCCCCTAGTGGCCCAAAACATTAAAGGAGGAGTTCTTAAAAACATGGCAAAATTGTCCCTCTGCGCCCTCTAGAGGACAAAAAAAGGAATTTTAATTCAATGTTTTTAAAATTACATTGTTTGGAGATCTCATGATATAGTGATGCCCTCATCATCTCTCCATACTTCCGTCTGGTCTAAGCTGCAGTCAGTAACTTTAAGACCCGACTTTGAGCAGGGCAATAGGTTGTCTTAGGAGGGAACATGCCTTAATGGAGAAGAACGTGTTGGTACATCTTTCCCTTCAATCATCCATTCACACCACCCAATCCTCTCAGGCCATGTTCCTCTGGGTTGCCACCCTGATAGAGGCCAGGAAATCCTCTGCTAGAAACGGGGCCTTCTTGCTCGTGGTGCCATCCCTCTGGAATGCTCTCCCTGTGCAGCTGCATCTGGCCTCCTCCCTCACAGCCTTTAAGAGGATGCTCGTATCAAGGCTGTCTACCAAAGCCATTGACACCATCCTCTCTTCATATTTTATAGACTGATAATTTGGATGATTCCTGCTTGTCGTCATTTTGGTTCCATTTTTATTTCTTAGGTATTCTTGTTGTATTTGTGCATACCTGTGGTTTATATTTTGGCCCATTATTTGTGATTTATTTTATGTTATTGTGTCTTAGGGTGCGAACCACTCAGCATAGTGCCCAGCATGAATCAGCGCAGTATGCAATTGAGGCAGGCAGGCAGGCAGGCAGGCAGGCAGGCAGGCAGGCAGATAGATAGACAGATAGACAGGCAGGCAGGCAGGCAGGCAGGCAGGCAGTCAGGCAGGCAGGCAGGCAGATTAGATAGATAGATAGATAGATAGATAGATAGATAGATAGATAGATAGATAGATAGATAGATAGATAGATAGATAGATAGATAGAGCGAGCAGGTGGATTTTATCTGCCTGGGACTCTCTGGGTTCTGTATAGATGTCTTAAAAGACACCTGAAAATGAATAACAAAGCCAAGCCAGAAGTCCACTTCCTGTTTGGAAAACTAGGTTTTTGGAATAATTAAATGCTTCAGGGAACTATGAGCTATTTTACAAGTGCATCATCACTCATGGAATTATCTGAGAGCTGCAATTTGTCTCTCCTTTTTTGCTAGAAAAAGAGGGAGTCATCAGAGAAGCCACAGACATGGCTTTGGGGAGTATATACATGCCTTGACTGCCTCAGCGTAGTTCATCTTTTTTGCTACAGATCCCGCCCAATGATCCTGTAAAAACACCGGGCGACTGCATCCCATTCACCCGGGCAGCCCCGGCGTGCAATGGTGGCTATGCCATCCGAAACCAGATCAACGCCCTCACACCCTTCATCGACGGCAGCATGGTGTATGCCAGCGAAGTCAAGTGGGCGCAGCAACTGCGAAACCTGACCAACAATCTGGGGCTATTGGCCATCAACCAGAACTTCACGGATCGTGGATGGGCCTACCTCCCCTTTGGCAACCCGGAAGGTTTCCCAGATTTCTGCCCCAGAACCAATCCAACTTTGAATATCCCCTGTTTTCTTGCTGGTAGGTCCTTTGAAGTACCCAGACTTATCTAGATTTGGGGGTGGGGAGGCAGGTTCCATAGTTTGGGGTAGACTTGTCTTGGAAGGAGAGGTTGACGTTACAGGCGTGGATGATGAGAGGCTCTGATGAGAAAGAGGCAACAAAGCCACAATTAGTCCAAACTACTAGAGCTGTCCAGGGTCCTGAAATACCACTTCCCAATAAGAATAGAGTGGGAGCCCCCACTATCCATAGCATGGCCTGGTTCCATCTATTGGCCAGTTCTGGTACTTACATGCTAGGAATCTGTTCCTCTCTGGCAGACACTATACATCACATGGCCTCTGGCTCCCTCTAGTGACCAGCTCTGGTAACTCCATCATTAAATTTTATTTGGGAGGATTTTTCTTTTTAATATTTTCAGACCGTGGATAAGTGAATCAGCGGATAAAGGGGTCCTAATGTATCTTTATTTGTTTGAAACATCCTTTCTATGCTCCATCTAGAAGAAGGAAGGGCCATGTAGGTTTCACCTATTTCCCTTATGTGCGTTGGTTGTTGCTTTTTTTAAAAAGGGGATAATCGGGCCAATGAAATGCCGGCTTTGACTGTCCTCCACACGCTTTTCCTGCGGGAGCACAACCGTCTGGCCACTGAGCTGAAGAGGATGAACCCCCAAATGTCGGGAGAGGTCCTCTACCAGGAAGCCCGGAAGATCGTGGGAGCCATGATTCAGGTGAGGATGATGAGGAAGCAAGAGACGAGGTTTTGCAGAGCCTTCTAGCAGGGGTTGGGAGGCTGTCTGCCTCCAACCTCGTTGGCTTCTCAGGTACAATCCAGTTAATATATTTCCTGTTAGCAAATCCCTCTAGCTTCATTTTCCCCATCAAGAACGTTTTTTAATTTTCTTATTTTTGCCTTTCATCCACCAAGCTCAGAAACAAGGGTTCTCCTTGTCCCCTACTTTCTCCTCACATCAACCCTGTGAGGTTGGCCACCTGGAAAGATACAGGGTATTCCGTGGCTCACAGAGGAGAGGATTCTGGATCTCCCCACTCACAGCTTCTCTCCAGAGGCAGCTTGGCCTGTTCAGGTTGCCGTTTGGCCCGACTGCATTTCCTTTTCGGGATTCTAAGACCAACAAGATATTTTAGGGACTGAAAATCTCTCCACATGCCCCCCACTCAGAGACACAACTCTTGAATTCCAGACAGTGTTTTCTAAAGCCACAGTTTACTGGAAAAGGCTCCAGAGTCTGGCTGAGCTCAAACAAGGACATTTCAGCCTGTAGAATAGCATAAAAACATTTTGCAGATCCTAGAATGGTGGGAATCTCTTTTTTTTAAAGTTTCAAAAATACAATTTTTGGGGAAATTAGCGGAAGAGATGCAGAGCCCTGCTAAAACAGCATCTCATGTGGACGGTGTTTCAGTTTGGCCCCTCCTTGTCTTCCAGAAAATCACGTATACCGAATATTTGCCAGCCGTCCTGGGAGATTCCATCTCTAATGTTGGGCCCAGGGCTTGGAATCGATACCGGGGCTACAACGAGTCCGTGGACCCCCGCATCGCCAGCGTCTTCACCAACGCTTTCCGTTTCGGGCACACTTTGGTGCGGCCCGTTGTGTTCCGTCTAGACAGCCGTTTCCGGATCCAAAGCGAGACGCCGCTACACAAGGAGTTTTTTGCGTCTTGGAGGATCATAAAAGAAGGTCAGTTCCCTTCCGGAAGACTGTCACTCTGAACGTCCTGGCCAGAGAGCATCCAGGGTCGTCTCAAAGTCCTGATGAACCCAAACGCCTCCCCGGGCGGTTTACGAACAGAGACAACCTCCAGATCTTTTTAAAGATTGGAAAAAGAGGGGAGGGAGCCCCATCCGTCATCGGGTAAGGATGATGGAGGTGTTTCTGGTTGCGTAACGGTGACAGAGAACCGGCGTGTTGGTTTTATTTCAAAGCTCTTGGACCGGGAGACGGGAGAGCCGAGTTCAAATCCTCCTGGATCCATAAAACCTGGTGGCTGCACAAAATAGAAGGGAAAAGATTGGGACCCCTCTAAAACTAACACATTTTTGTGGTTCTTTACCGAAAGAGACATAATACAGCTTCTCTGAAAACTCGCCTGTTAAACTTAGGCAAGGCTTAAATTGCTCAGCCCGACCTACCTTAACAGGGTAATTTTTGTGAGAAGATGTAGTAGGAAAGCAGGCTACATTTTTCATTTGTGAGAAATAAATGTAATAAATGAATAAATAAGGGAATAAATATTTTATCTGTCTGTCTGTCTGTCTGTCTGTCTGTCTGTCTGTCTGTCTGTCTATCTATCTATCTATCTATCTATCTATCTATCTATCTATCTATCTATCTATCTATCTATCTATCTATTAGATTTCTATCCTGCCCTTTTAGACAACGTCTACTTCGGGCGGGTTCCGTTAAACATTGTAAACTAAAACAGTTAAAAACAATTCAAAACAATAGTGATTAGTAAGGCTTAGCAATGCTCAAGATGGGAAAACAGAAAATTCTAATAAAAATAAAGGCAAGTATTGACAGGAGGGAAGGCCTGCCTAAAGAGCCAAGTTTTTTAAGTTGGCTCTTTAAAAAAATTGGTCAAAGGGGGTGTCCAGAGACTTCGAAAGCAAGCTTAACAAACTGCCTCCCTCTAGAAAACTCAGGCTTGCTTGGATGCTTATTATAATGGAAGCCAGCGGATAAGGGAATCAACGGATACCGATCCCGCAGATAGGTAATCTTGATATATTTAAAATGTTGTTTTCCACTTTTCCCTTCACATCCATGGGCCTGTTTTCCTGTTTAACACATGGTTTTAATATCAGTAAGTGAAATTAACACGTTATTCCCAGCTTCTGGCTTAAACAGCTTTCCATTTGGACGTTCCCTCTAAAGTTCAGCTGAAAGCGGCCGACAGATAGAGCTTTTCTCTAATGATCCTCGGCTGTTCATCTTTCCAGGAGGCATCGATCCGATCCTGCGGGGCTTGATGGCGAAGCCGGCCAAGCTGATGAGACAGGACCAGCTGGTTGTGGACGCTATCCGAGACCGACTTTTTGAACAGGTTTCTAGGATCGGCTTAGATTTGCCGTCCCTGAATATGCAACGGGGCCGTGATCACGGCCTGCCAGGTAAGAAAGAAGGGGAGGGGGTGTCCATCTCTGAGGCAAAGACCTGAAGACAACGCCAGTTATCATTCAACAAGCCCAAACTAACCATGCAGACCTGAAGCCCCCTAAGAAAACCATTAGAGAAGAAAACTAAGGAGGAGGAGAGAAGTCATCTCTGCAAAAGCCATCGTCCTAAAAACCGGAGGGTAGGACTGTAGCAAATCATCTTCTTCTGAACCAGATCTTTGACCCATCATAGCATGGTATTCTCCACGTTGGTTTTATACCTGCACTAGCCTTTTCTCCCTCTCCCGTTTAGTTTACATTGCTGGGTCCGGTGAATTTGTTTGGATTTTATTCAATATTGTATTAATTGGTATTTTATTTGCTCTTGGTCTCTTGGTGTCAGTTATGTTCAATTGCCTTCCTTCCTTCCTTTATTTATTTATTTATTGTGCTGATATATTTGCTTTTTCTTAACATGTTCCGAGCCATTCCCAGCAGTCTGTTTGGAAAAGCTGGATATAGATAAATCCGTGATTATTAGGAGTGGGATTTGGGGATTGCTTGGACTAGAAATCCCATCATTCTCCATTTTCAGAAGCCTACCTGACAGGCAGGCACTTTACAGAGACCTAAATGGGGCTCACCAGGGAGAAAAGGCCTCATTTTGAAGGCTCTGTAGCTAGGCCTAGTTCCACTCAAGCTTCCTGTTCCTGCCCCAGTGCTTGCTGGGTGTTTTTCTTCCTGAACAGGACGCTTGGGAAGAGCTAGGCCTAGTTCAGGCTCAAAGTCTTCCAGCTGAGGCCTTTCCTCCAGGTGAGCCATAGGTTATAAGTTATATAGCTGTCAAATGGAGACCTATGGGATTTGTATTCCAAGAATTAAAAAAAATTCCATGCCTAATGATAATTTTTTAAAAAAATCACATGTCTATGCAGCTTCTTTGCCCCATGAAAACATCTTGGCAGCCACCCTGTTCAGGATGTTTTCTTAGAGAATAATTCACATCTGCTTAACTTTCACCCTCTCACTCTACAGGTTACAATGCCTGGAGGCAGTTCTGTGGTCTCTCTCAACCCCGTAATGAAGCAGAGTTGGCAAATGTCCTCCAGAATCCGGGACTGGCCAAGAAATTCATTCAGTTGTACAGGACACCCAGCAACATTGACCTCTGGGTGGGGGGTGTGGCAGAGCCCCCCATCCGCAATGGCCGAGTCGGGCCTTTGCTGGCATGCATCTTTCGCACCCAGTTCCAAAAACTCCGGGATGGGGACCGGTGAGTAGATCACAGTGGGTTCCAAAATTTTACACATACACCCGAACCTCCTTGAGATCCCATTGGAGATCATGTCTCTTTGAATATCCTTCTGAAATCAGTTGCCCCGAATTTTCTCTCTCTCTCTCTTTCCTTCCAGATTCTGGTGGGAGAATCCTGGCGTGTTTACCCCTGCACAGCGCCAGGCTCTCGCCCAAGCCACGTTGCCTCGCATCATCTGCGACAACACCTACATCCGGGAGGTGCCGCGGTACATATTCCGAGCGAACCAATATCCGCGGAACTTCGTCAACTGTAATGCCATTCCAAGAGTCAGCCTCTTCCCGTGGAAAGCAAAATGTAAGTCTTTCCCTGGGAGAGGAGGAAGAGGGAGTCCCATCACATGCTCAAAAGATGAGCCAACGGTTTGAAAGGATGCAAAACACCCATCCACTGCTTCACACTCTGAAATGAAACAACTGCGGTTTATTTTTGGGTCCATGCACACACTGTGTGCAATAGCACTGATGCTTTTTGCAAGGAAATGGGGGGCAAAATTTCTCCCTCTCAAGAAATTCATCCTCTTCTTATCTCTTTCATCTGCAGAAGGATGATATGGAGGCTTCTGCAGTTGTTTCAGTCCTCTTAATCCTGGAATGCATCCTTTAGTTTGCTGCAACTAAATGCTTGTGTTCCCTTAGCCCAGATTTTAATTTTTATTTCTGTTTTGCCAGAATGGAGAGCTGCTGCCTCTCCCTGCTTTCTCCTGCAAACAGATATAACTTGCTGCTATAAGCCGTGTGCCTATTTGCGTTTCACACCGCAATGCAGTTATGGTCTGGAAAGTTAGCTTCTGCAAATCGGCTGCTGTGGGTGCTCGAAATATCACGTCCGTCTTCTTTCTGCTGGCCCGTCCATTATCGCCGAACCAAAAATCAATCTGGCTAATAGCACGTGTGAAAACTCTGCTGATAAGGGATCTTTTTGGGGCTCTCCCTTAAAGGGTGGGAGAATTCATCCTCTCTTGCAGGATTAGAATCGTTGGAATACCCCACCTCCCATTTTATCTCTTGAGACAGTGCGGTGTCATGAGTACAGGGTTGGGCCAGGGAGAGCTGGATTCGAATCCTTCCTTGGCCACGAAACTCACTAGACAACTTTGGGGCAGATGTACTCTCTCCGTTCCACCTGTTCCACCCTAACAGGAGCTGGCAAGGTTCCTGTTTCAAGGATGCTGAATCGACTCTGGAGTCTTGTCTGTGGTTTAGATGCGCTCTCCATGGTGCTGAATCTGGATTAGGGATAACTGTAAAGAACCCTGTAAATATCAGTGTAAAATCTGGGCTCAACTCCTCAGCCTTCCATGTTTCACAGGTTATACTGGAGGTGAAGCGAAATATAGCAACAAATCATAAATATGGCAGATTTTTCCCCTTTAAATTGCTGCAGAATATGGCGACACACATGCTTCCCTAAAGCCAGCCAGCTGGCTTGTGTTACTTGGTAAAGATATAAATTTTTGGAAATAAATGAATTGTATCCACTCATTTTTATTGGTGAAGTTTCTGCACCCTGCAACCTAATGCCATGCACATTTATTTGCATTTACCTATTTATAAGTATACATGACTTGCATTCATGAAAACCAAAATGTACCTCAACAATGAATGGGATAGAAAAATATACATGCAATCATATGATAACAGTATTATGTGTAAAAGACATGATGGGCTGAACTATGGTGGAAGTAGGTGATGTGAAAAATATATAAAGGAGGCTGCGAGACACCGAGACAAGTTGTTCAAAATATACTTTATCTAAGTCTCTTAGGGAAAAGGTATACGGGAATCCCTAACAAAGAAACATAACATCTAAAACATATTACATACCATATGATTGAGCAAAATAAGCAAGAGCAGTCAAGGTAATGCCGATAAGTAGGCAAACTCAAAAGGTTCTGCCTTGCTCGTAGCTTCGCACCGTCCGAGGGAGGGTGTGGAGATAGAAGGTGAAACAGACTACATTTATAAGGCTAATTAATCACAGGGAACACATGAGGTCCCTTTCAAGGTTATCCATTAAAGAGAAAGACATGTTACATATTGAATATTACAACAGTAGGAACCATATTGGAAAGACTCACAGTATAGCTGAAAATAAAGTCAGTCAGAGCATGTATCAGAGGAAGAAATATTCCACATCAGAGATGTCACTGCCCTCTCCGGCTCTGAAACACTGCAGAGCAGACCACAGCAGGAAGTTAAAGCAAGGAGAAAACTCCAGGTACTTTGGGCCAA